AGTTTAGTTGTCTTATAATCTTAGTGAGGAATAAATACTTTTTGGCTAATGTAGTTTCTAAATGATTTAGATTAATAACAAATATGATTTCTATGTTTTTCATATGTATAGGGCCTTTCCATAGCCTGAGCTCTCATACACTGCCTAATATTTTAAGAGGGTATTAAATAAAGAGTCTCAAATTCTTTTCATTCACATGGCTCATCTACACTGATAGTATCACATGACTACAATAAGAAAGGATAAGTGAAGGCCTCTCCACCCATGTTGTCTCTACTATGCTTTCTCCCTGTCTTAAGCTATGGCCGACAGCTGACATCTGAGTATATTCCTTAGAGTTTGGTTGCTTATCTGTAATGTATGTGAATACTAAAAACATTAAAATTTCCCTTCATTTTTTTATGCCACTACCATGAGTCTTTATGTGACTTGAGAAGCTGTGTGTTAGTTACCAATTACCAACAAGTGACCACACTTATTGGCTTAAAATCACGGGCATTTATTATTCCTCAGTCTCTGTGCATCAGGATTCTGGGTGTGGCTTACTGGGTCCCCTGCCTTATGTCTTCTCATGGACTCCTACCTAGATATTATAAGGCTGGTGTTTCATCTGTCCGTCCTACAGGAGGCTCTCCCTACAAATTTATGCTGTGCTGGCAGCTTCAGTACCTTGTAGGAGTCCTTTACTCTCTGATTGCTTAGTGGGTAAAGGACTGCCCAGTTCATTGTCCAATAGGGCTTTTTCAACGTGTAATTTTTAAAATTAAAGCCAGTAAAGGAGAGTCCACTAGCAAAATAAAATCTCAATATCACAAGACCAATCATGGAAATAAGAATCTTCTTTGTTCTGTTTCTTAAAACCCAGTCACTACTTCAGCCCAAAATCAAGGGACAGAATTATCCAAAAAATGTGTGTTCCAGGAATTGAGGATTCTTGCTGTGTCCTTGAAGCTGTGTTTCCCTTCCTGTTGTTAGAACAGCTATACGATGGGTGAATAGAATACACAGAAGGTTTTGTGTGTGTGACATATGTAAGATCTCCTGGAGCCCAGACAATTTGTACTAAGTGGTGCACAGGAGCAGAGCCTACTAAAGAAGAAGTTATAGCTTCCTGAGTAATCACGGTCCCAATGTTCCTTCAAATTGGAGGGGAATTTCTTCCAAGTGAGGAGGGGTATGCAAAGCAGCTGGGCTGCATGGTGCCAGAGCAGCTGGTTGCCAAAGTAGGGGCTGTTTGACTGACAGCTGCCACTCAAGACAGCCATGAATTTAAAAAAGAAAGTCTGTCATATGTCATTCAAAGGGCCCAACACCCACGCTAGACAGCTAGACACTTTTATTCATTCATAGAAAGAAAGAAGAAAAATCAAAGGGTACAATAAAGATCTGGGAAATTAACATTCTTAACAAAGGTTAACAGTGTTTAGCCTCCTAGGCAAATACAGCTTAGCATTGGGTCACTCTGATCTGTCACGTAAGAATTACTAAAGACTTCCCCACATTCTTTATTCATATATATGTTAAGTTTTTCCATGTGACCTCTGACATATGCCCTAAGAATTTGGCACAAAAGGAGACTCCCCCACATTCCTTGCATTTACAGCATTTCTCCCCATTGTGTCTACTTGCAGAACTCTGTAAACATGAGGAACAATAGCAGGCCCATGCATTCTTCACACTCCAGAATGTGTGTCTAGGTAGGGTCTGCTCTGCCATGCTTATTAGGGGATGAATGACCTATAAAGGCTTCTCCACATAGTGCAGCAATGGAAATTTACAGCAGCTGGGGGTTCTTAACACAGCAAATTTGGGAACTAGTTGGTTACATTAATTTCTTTTATAGAGACACTGCAATTCGAGGCTTTTTACCTGTTTCTCTTTGTTTTGTGTTGAACATTAATGACATGTTATTCCCGATTTTCTCTTAAAAGGGAGAATCAACTAGAATAATTTCTTAATGCTCTATTTTCTGGTCATTGAATTTTTTTCTCTATGAATATCCTGCTGAGCCACTGACACAGTGGGTTTTAAATTGATCCCACAACCTACTGCAACCAGGCTTCTAGCACATTGCTTTTCCATCGTCACCTCTATGAGCACTCCTTTGAGAAGAAGTTTGCAAACCCTGCTCCTTCTAAGTCAGCTTCAAAACCACATCTTCAAAGACCAGCAAGTCTGTTTCCTGGCTCAACTGTTTGGAGGTTTTTTGGGGGGAGTGTCAGCCCCAAAGTTCAAAGGAGAAAGAGAGGATGGTAGAATTACGGCACCTGTAGCAATCTGAAGTTGGCTGTAAAAAGTGTGTGACACTCAGGCTGGCAGAGGAATAGTGGTTTTTACTTGGCAATAATGTTCGTGTACTCACTTTTAAAATCTATTAAAACGCAGATAATATTTTTAGCTGACATGTGTTTATGACCCTGTTTACTCTATTCCATCATCAGCACCTTCCTTAATTCTTGTCATCACTCTTAGGAATTATACTAAGTTGTTATAGTTGAGGAACTCAGGTAAGGCGTCGCATCCTCCATAGTAAAGTATCCTCATCCAGTTCTCTCTTCAGAGACACTGGATATGTAAACGGACAGTAGTCTGACCATACGTGTCAGAACTCCTGTCCATAACATCTACAGACATAGTTCTTGGAATCTGAACTCTAATCTCCACCAGCAATTGGCCCCATGTAAGCAAGATTGGCCAATAACTGGCAGCTTCTCTATTTTTCCCCTTTCCTATACCTCAGGATCAACAGAGAAAGCCAAGAGTTCTGCATGAACCAGATAGCATAATACATGCCCCTTCAAATTCAGCTCCCCCATGCCAATGACCTCCAACTAGACCAGATTATAAGAGCAAAGGAATACCTTTTCTTTCCATTGCTAACAATGACCTCCAACTAGACCAGATTATAAGAGCAAAGGAATACCTTTTCTTTCCATTGCTAACTATATGACCGATGTACATAATTGAGATAATTTAACAAGAATTCTTTGTAAACTTTTGTATACCATCTGTGTGACATGGGAACCTTCCTAATGAAATCAAGATTTAAAGTCAAAGGCATAGGGAAGTGCATATTTTTGTGCTTGAGTTTTGTGAAGAGGTGGTGGCTCTAGAGAAAGAAGTAAGACTGAACCAAGTAGTTATGACCTAATGGTAGTAAGCCTGACAGAGAGTGTTGGCAAGGCTTGTCTACTCAGCTTACTCTCAGTACCCCTGTGTCTTCAGACAAAGAGGGGCCCTTTCCTCCTGGTATAAGAAGTCTAGCTCTAGAATGAGTGTGTTATCACCTGCTTCAAGATTGGAGGGCAACGGAAAGGTAAGTGAAACCCTTGGTTCAGTGGTTTTTTCAAACACTAAAATGCCTTATATCCTGAAGCCCACTAATAACAAAAGCCTTCTGGTCCCTGCCAACTTTGGGGAATCTGCCAACATGCACAAGATGATGACTAACTCCATCATTATGAACTAAATAAGTGCTCGCTGGTGTCGCCCTCCCTCCCTCCTTTTATTTCTACAGTACACTTTTTACTTCTATGATACTAATTTATTCCATTTGTATATGTGTGTATGCACATATGTGCATGGGTGCATGTGCATGCCATCACAGGCATGTAGAGGGCAGAGAACAACTTGTGAAAATCAACTCTCTCCTTCCAGCTCGTAAGTTTCAGAAATGTCGGTCTTGAAAGGAAAGTGCCTTTATTTACCCTTTGAGTCATTTCACTCTCTTGTTTGGTTCGTTTATTTATTTATTTCTACAAATAAAAATACTGGTGGTTCAAATACTTTTGGATATCTCTCACAGCAGAAGGAAATAAGCATCATGTTTAGGAAAGTTACATCTGCTTTACAAAGTAACGGAACTGCAAAATTTTATTATATTCTTATTAGACAAAGAAGAAAGCTCAACAGAAACAGGTAAAGTTCTTTATCACCCTGCTTCTTCTTCCCATAATATCTGATATTTTATGCAGAGATAAAAATATAGAGACAGTTGTTTTAAATTTCAGTACACACGGGTTTTTTTTCCTTCCCAGATTGAAGCAATAATAAAAGCCAGTGTTTATGGAGTGCTTAGTATATGCTGGGAAGTGAACTACTGCGTCTACAGAATTACAGCAGCCCCATGGAGAAGGTGCTATATTCTCACCTCCCTTTTCCAGGTGGGAAAACAACAAAGCAGAATCTTGTAGCAGACACTTCAAAGTAGGCCTGGGGCTGTAGTCATCTTTTTCAAAGCAGCAGCTTCTAATCTATGGGTCATGACCCCACTGGGGCGATCAAGCAACCCTTTCACAGGGGTCACCTAAGATCATCAGACAACGTAGATATTTACGTTATGATTCATAAAAGTAGCAAAACTAAAGTTATGAAGTAGCAATGAGAATGATTTGATGGTTGTGGTCAGCACAGCATGAGGAACTGTGTTAAAGGGTCACAGAATTAGGAAGGCTGAGAGCCAGGGCTGTGAAGTTTTGCCCTGTCCGCTACATTTCTCAGGTTGCTTGTTATGCCACATTGTGTTTTCTTTAAACAACTGTATTTTACTGTGGCACCCAGGACATTTCCAGTCAAGAGCAGCATTCCTAGGTTTTCACCTCTGCACTAATAGATGTATTGATGAACTAACCTGCCCCCATCTTAGGTTTGAAAGTCATTGTATAGTAAAGACAAAACAGCTTCATTTCTGTTTATGGTTCAATCTGTTTCTCAAGGATTGAACTATGTCCCACTTGTTACCTTAACTATAAATGGTTCTGTACTGTCTGTTCCAGGAAACACCAAGCATGTCTTTGTTTCAAAAAGTTAAAACCATCTTGCAACTCTACCTTTGTTTCAAAGAATTGTTATGACTACCTTGTTATGACTACCATATACCCACCTTGCAACCAGGAGGTTGTTATGACTAACTTATTATGATTATATTCTGCTCCTGTAACCCTGACTATTTTGCCAGCTAAATCACCCATATGGAAACTCCAAACTTGAGCTGTAAATACCTTGTCTTCCTCATGTCCATTGTTGACCTCTTCACCTTAGGGGGAGGCAGTCTGTATACAGGAATCAAAAAGCTTGTTTTAATTAATTGTCTGCTTTAATTACTTTTTGCTATGATTAATTGTGTCAGTGGTCTTTCTCCTCACATCTTTGGGATTAGCAGGATTCCCTCATCCTTTCTTAATTGCTTGCATTCTGTAGAGCATGTGCTATTTTCAAGGTCATGTAAATTTCTCCCAACAGTTGCTACTTGAATGAGCTGTATCTCCTCTCCTCATTTCAAGGTGGACCTCCCCACCATTCGACTGCTAGTGTATCCCCCTCCCCCTCCCTCTGGAGGTAAGTCTGGCCTGCTTTGTTAGCCTCTACCATTCACATGCTCCATCATTCGTCAGAATACATCCAAATAGGACTTCCTCGCTGCTTGCTGCTGGTGAGACTCCTGTTGTGAGGAAATGGGGAACAGGCATGGGTAGAGAGAAACAGCCACTATGTAACACTATGGGGGAAGTCACTTCCCCAGGAACGGAAGTTTGGATGAATAGAATTTAAATTTTGCAAAAATTAGGCGTTTACTTTTTGCTGAGCTTGGAGCAATACCCAGTAGTAGAGACTGGCAGCATCAAAAGAGTCTAGCTGACTGATTGGTGTCTGTGCCTTCCTTGTCAGGATGTCCCAGTTTACTGATTTTATAAGAGTTTTAGGCTGGCTGCCGGCAACCAAATAGCACATAGGCTCTAAAAGGTTCTAAAGTTTTCCTGTTATTATTTAGGCAAATTTAGCTGCTAAACTAGCTGCTGAGGTTGGCTCCCATGTACTGTGAAACTTGTTCAAATAAGAGTTAATATACTCCCAGGTTTCTCCATGCTCTGGTCAAATCCTGGAGAAACAGTCATGTTCAAGAGACACAGGAGGCAGCCAGTGACTGGAAGTGTGACCTTTCTGATCCCCTCGGTGATTCTGCTGGGGAGGAAACCTTGTCATCAACCCCTCATGTGAGCCAGAGGCACTAATCTTGCTGACAGAGCGTTGGTCCTAGGCAAGGCTATGCAAGCAGTTAATTATACCCAGAGTTAATTGAGTGGTCATATTAACAGTCTGGTCTCAGGAGATCTCAAAGAGAATTCTAGAAATTTAGGTATATAACACCCCCACAACAATGTCAAATGAGACATCATGTTCTTTTTGACCCTCCCTTTCAATTTGGGATGATGATTTCATAATTGACAGATGCTAATTAAAATAGCAAATGGGATCCTCGAAGGCAGTTTCGTCTGCGTTTCTTAGATGACCATTCAGTTCTTGACTGATTTACCATGGCTCTTTCTCCTCCATTAACAGACAAGTTAAACTTTATATTCCCTTAAAATTTTATTACTCATAATTAGGAAGCAAAAAAGATCATTTTGCATTTTACAACTTTAAAATGTGGAAGTAAATTGGATACTCAGATAATGTAGGACAAATTTCTAATACAAGATAAGTCAGAGAGGGGGGATACACCAGCATCACCACAAGGCCTGGACCCCCTGGACCTCTCATTTCACCAACCCACCTAAGCCTGTCCTCAGACAAAGGTTCCTTGTAAGAAATTTCATTTTTATTCATTTTTAATTTGAACATGACTGAAGTTTTTAAATTCCATGGTAATTAAATATAAGAATCTAAACGTTAAAAAATTACTACACAAGAAATTGCCTTTCTAGGCTTTAAACATGGCTCAGTGGGTAAAGTACTTGTTATACAAACACGAAGATCCGAGTTCTTAGTATCTGCACCACCAGAAGAAGCTGGGTGTGGTTTTCTACACCTATAATGCCTTGTAATAAGACCCTAGAGGCTTCCTAGCCAATCAGCCTAGCCAACTGGTAGGTGTCAAGTCCAGAAAATACCCTATTTCTAAAACTAAGATGATGGAGAAAAGTAAAAAAGAAAATGACATCTGACACCAACCACTGACCTCCGCATGAGTGTACACACACATACCTCCCCTCACAAAAGAAGTTGGCTTTTATCCTGTAGCCAGGGAGAGGATTATTTCTATACACACAATATATGAACATGGAGGAACAAACATTTGTCTACACTCTGCAGTCCTGGACTATTGTGGAATATTGCATTAACTGTGTGAAGGTGTGTTACATTTGTTTCTGCTGTTTTTGTTAGCAATGCAGAAATGTGTTACATTCATTTGATTAAATAAACTTAACCTAGAATCAGGAGACTGAGTCAGTAACTGGCTGACAGGAAGGGGTAGGGAGGGTTCTCTAGTTGGGACTGAGTAGAAGAGTGGCCCCTTTTTCAGGAGCTGTGAGCAAGGAGAGAAGGTTAACTATGTGCTACTCAGCTTCTCTGAGCTAGCAGGATTTCACCGCAACCTTTGAATCCTGAGTTCTATAGAAAGAAAGAGATTTAGATAAAGTTTTCTTTAGTGGCAGTGATAGAGCTGGTGCCTGAGGGAAGAGTTCCCACCTGGCTGTGCCGATGCGGTCACTGTTGGTAGCTGCAGAGCTATAATTGCTGTTTGGTCCAGCAGGTGCTTAAGGTGCAGCCTCTGTACCGAATGTAAAGCAACACTGGACAGTATACCAAACCATGCGAATGTTCAGTGACTTATTAAACTGAATGGCTCTGTTGTATCACCCCTCTGCAACGCACATGCTTAGTGCGTTTTCTTATGTTTTTACCATTCAGATACACTCATAATGAGAAACTTGAGTACTGAGGGTCAGGTGTAGATACTTGAATGACCTTTCTTGAAAGTGTTGCCTTAATCTAGTCCCACAGCAAAAAAGAGTAAGTGTTAAATGCTGATTGTATCTTATGCCCTAAACAAGAAAGAGGACATTAGCTATGAATGAAATAATTTACATTATATCAAAATAAGCTCAATAATTACCTTTAATGATATTGATTTTCTTTGACACAAATTTTCATTAAAATGCAATTTTAAGTTCTATGCCAATCCAAAGTTTTTTCCTCAGAGGAGAAAATATTGGATTTCAATGGTTTACACTTTGACTCTAAAATGAAATCATACTCTTTTTCTCAGAAGTCTCTCTCTCACACAAACACAGATACGTGCACACACAAACTTTGTAAATGATGTATTTTGAAAGGAAAGGAGAAGCAGAATGGTGGGGAGGAAAGCTTAATTTCTGATTCTTCATTCTTTTTAAGCAGGTGTCTTACCTCAAAAGAAACTTCCACATGACCTCAGGAAGAGATGAGCCATCAATGCAGCCCCCTACAGTCCTAGTGCAGCTAAGGATATCCACAAATGCCTAGGAGAGTTCTTGTCCCCCACGAACTGGAAAGGACCACACCTATGTCTCAAGAGATAAGTGGGCAGATTTTCTTGAAAAGTGGCTCTGACGATAAACTAGCAGAGAAGCCCACTTAATTCACAGGTAGTCCTGGAGGAGTCCACACTCTGCAGTCTCTCTGGAACTAGAGAAAGTTCCATTGAGAATTTATCTAATGACTTGGAAAGGACCTTTCAAAATATGCAAGACGCAGCAAGTTTCCTTCTGTGTTGTAGAGTCCAATAGTACAACGAGTGAGATGACAGCAGTCTCTCATGGTCAGCCTCGGACTGAGGTGGTCAGCCTCGGACTGAGGTGGTCAGCCTCGGACTGAGGTGGTCAGCCTCGGACTGAGGTGGTCCTGGAAGCAGGGATTTCAAAACTGACTGTCTCTGGCAAACCAGGGCAATCGCTCACTACACATTTGATGAGAATTGCCTATTTCTAATTGCAAGTGTTTGGGGTTTCACTGAGTGATCATTAATTAAACATAAAGCCACTCTTCTGTAGAAAATAAAGATACTCTAGGACCTTTGATTTGATGTTGGTGGCAAAATAATCCCCTGTTAAGGGAAGGAAATTGGTCAGGAGAAATATTTTAGAAGGATTAAAAGCTGCTACTTAATTATATAGGCAATCTCACTGAACTATACATACCTCATACTGTCCCAGTAACCTCCCTACCACGCTGTCTCTCCTTAACCCAAGAACAGTAACATCCCTTTACCTTTCCTTTGGCATCAGGTAACACTTTTCCTCCATAAACCTGACTTTATCACCAATTACAACTTTCACATATAGACAATGGTAGTGGTACTCTACAGAGGTGATCCTGGGACTTTGTCCTACACAGGCTTCTGTCACACAGTCATTTGATTTTGACCAGGGAACAGGTAGGCAGAGAGATGGAGTCAAAGATCTTGGGCTAAGATTCCATTCCACTTGGTATTCTCTACCACACACTGTCCCATCCCACTGTTATCTAAAAATTCCATATCTAGCAAATAGGACAGTAAAGATGTCTTCTGTGTCACAGTGTTAGCAGAAGTCAGGGTCCATCTTAAAACTTCTCAAGGCTTTGGGTAGACACTACCTACGTACCACCGCAACAAATGCACTCAGGGAACTAGCTGAACTCAAAGCCTTAGAGATTGAATTTGTACCTATGAATGTCCCTTCATCTAATGATGTGGAATAGACTTGAATCTGGGAATGCATAGTGGATTACTGCCTTGGAAAAGGGGTTTGCCACATAAACTTTGATCTTTCTGCAACTATTAGAAAATGTTTGGCAGCAATTTGTAGTTTGGCTTCTAAGATGGCAGATTTTTTTTTTTAATTCTTCAGTTTTGAGGTGTCATATTAGTATCTTCCTAATGTTCTTGCCTAGACTTAAAGGATATATAACCACTGAAACAAGCATATCCAAAGCAGGCATTTGAGTTTAGAGATATAACACACGTGGCTACAGATAGTTCGCAGTGTTATGGTCAATGTATGGCAGCTTTAAAACCAGACATTTGTGTTCATTTCTGGAGGTGCAACCTTCAGCAACTTGCTCTACTCTATATTGTCATCTACAAGACAATAATGATTGGAGTAACTACTAGGGCTCTTGTGAAATTTGGGGAAAGAATCTGCATGGAGTAAACTACACAGATCTAGGCCCATGGTGTTTTGTATTTTACTATTTCCCTTTCACAGAGTATTATGGCTATTAATGAAGGCGCATGCTCAATTCAGGACC